TCCACAAAAGAACCAACAGTGATGATCGTGGGAGGAGGCGGCATCGAGGACGCGTATTGTTTATTCAGTCTCCTTTGCGGTGTTGGCGTGCCGGGGAAGAAAAGGCAACGCAAGGCGCTACGCAACGCACCAATCCAAGCTGCGGGCTGCAGATCTGACGCAGGCTGCTGAAACCACTGCTCCTGTCGTCACTACTGCTGTCGCTTTTTACCCTGCTACTACTGGCTGTTTCACTATAGCAACACAGAATAGGTCTTCCTGGAGCGAGTCGGTGTGCCGACGAAGTTCAGCCTCGTTGGCTCCTGGCTGGGGATGACGAAGCGGGTCAAAAAAGGGGCACAGAAACGCGTTGGAGAAAAGCGAGCCTCATGTAGAATGGGAGGAAGAGGGCTGAAAAGCCTCGCCGTTTCGAGTGGAACGCTCGGCAACCCTATACCGACCGAGAGCCTCTTCCATTCTTCTTCTTTGTATGTAGGGGGAAACAAACGGGGAACGCTGGAACCGAACGCGCTTCTAAGATAGATGGCCCCAGTATCCCTGAGACGAGATCACGGCCAAGCCTTCAAGCTTTTACCTAAGCGAACAACCACTTTCCTACACCTCGTCCCACCTCGTCGTTGCCTCTACAATATCCTTCCACACACCCATCCCCCAATTTGGTAAAAGTTGGCTCCACTTTTTCTAGTTGCTTTCATCCAACGACTAGTCAATCCTGGTCCTGGCCAACTTAGGAGTGGTCGCTTTTTCGCACTGCTTTTCAGCCACAAACTCCTTTTTCCAAGCCAAGTGGTGGGACGGTGCGACGCAACTTAGGCTCAACCCGGTGCTGCGATCAGTCGTTGTAGCAGTGGTAGCACGAGTGAGAACAATAATGAAGGCCAAGGACAGTAGGCTGTCAACCTTGGATCGCTAAAATTATTTTGCTTCCTGACGGCAGATGGCGAAAAAAAAGAAATAGAACACAACGTAGGACAACCTGGGGTGTCAAAAAAATGGAGTGGAAAAGTAAAGGCTCTACGAAGCCGTACTATTGAAACGGCCGCTGCAGCTGTTGTGGTAACCACTGTTGATGGCATCGTTCTTGTTTACGTATTTCTATGACTGCCTTTCCTGCTATTGTTTTGCTGTGCAGCTTCTCGCCCCCTAGCAGAAAAAAGGAAACCTTGTGGGTTTTTTCTCGTAGCTTATTACTCGACAAGGTGTAGCACAGTGTTTAATTACTGACATATGACGTCAATCGGCAAATACCAATAGCCAAACTGGGTAGCTAGGCGTAATTATCATGCAATTTGTAAGGCCAAATTTTTAGATGTTTTCAAGCGTACATAGATTATTTATGAGCATCCTTAGTATTTTGTGTTGTTGGTCTTTATAAATCCTAAGACACCTTAGTTGGTCTATATAAATCAATCCTAGTTACTCTTACAGATTACTTACAGCATGATTTATTCAATCACGTTAATCTTCACACAGTGTTTAACGTAGGCACTTTGAAATCATTATATTGTCTTTTATACAACAGAAAGTCATATTCTAGAGCTCTTACATTACATAGCCCTTATAGTATATATCGTATTGTCTTACACTGTTCCCTTAAAGTAACGCAAATTTCAGTGTTCGAATACTTTTTGAGAACCATTCAGGACTTCTGCATTCCCATCTTAGATAACGAAATCCTCTATGTAAAACAAAATACTCATTATTTTCTAATTATGGTAGGAGCAGTTATAAGAATCTATATAGGTTTTCGTTTTAACAATGTCATCATCATCTTTATTGTTATATAGGTGAAACACATCGAACCGAATCGGTCAACCCAGCATTATTTAACCTAACATCCTGTAACCGACACCTTACAGTGAACCGACGACGGAGCTCGTGGCCATCAGTTTCCTATTCAGCCTGCATGCAACCACCGTACTAACATACTGACACCCCACTACGCGAGTGGCAGAAAGCCTGCAAGTAGAACTTCAGGCTATCCATTTAGACACCACTGTAGTAGGCACTAGTTTGTCTCTCAGCAGTCAGCCAAAGAATGGTGAACTCACTCTAGCCAGCGATTACTCAACCTCCTCATCGACCGCGTCCTTTTGACCGGTTTAACCACAAACAGGACGGGCCGACCCACCTCGTCTGTTGAGACGGTCTCGCCCTAAAGGGTTCCTTGGCCCTACCCGAACTGATCCAGTCCCTTGGACGATATCCATGTCAGCTTCATGAATCGGGAAGCGGTAGAGGTTATGCGTGAGAGTATAGCCTACCCAAAGAGGAAGGGAGACTTGTGTTTCTTCCATTCCCATGGCCAGTTAGCAGTAGCGGCGGTAGCAACCCAACGGAACCTCACAGGAGTTAGTGCGCCATAGTCACGAGCACCACTGCTTTAATAACACTAGCCAGTGAAGAAAAACGACACAGCAAGGGGGCTGGCTAACTGCAGGCGATCATTCATACTAATTCTTTCTGCTCCCAGACCAACAAACCACGCTTGCCTGCCTTATTGGCCCCCAACAGTATTGCAGTCGTACAAACCCTACATTTCTCTCAACCTAACATTCAGTCCAGCGAAATCAACCAACCACGAAGGTGTCTAACACCATCTAAATTGTCTAATGCTTTGTAGAGGATCTTCCGTCACGCAGTCCTGAATGCAGCCGAGGAAAGCCCGCATCCAACAGCCCTTTCAGGGCTCAGCCGACGCGAGTGAGACGCGTATTATTCTTGAAGATAGAGCAAGGCCCGTACGACTCAGTCAATAAGCGTGTGAGCAACGAAGACTGCCCCATTCAATTACTAACAGCAATCGTCTTTTTCGTTCTCTGGCTTGTCCAGTTGGCTTAGACGGTCTCTGTGGGGTAGTCCTATGTGCATGGGAAATGCACGCACCTCCGGTCTACCACCCACTGGGGGATGACAATTCTCAAGCAACTTTTCATTTAGTGTCTGACATCCATACATAGACTCACGCGCTTCCTCATTTTGAAGACTAATAGGAAACTTGTACTGGGTACCCCTCACATGTCTATTATGCCATCCCTGGCGGGAAACAATCGAGTACTCGAACCAGAAAAGAGAATGAGCTACTGTTCACTGTTATCTCCCACTTTCTCTCAATTGCTTGAAAGATAAGATTTATCTATCTTCTATCTTTATATTTTTCTCTTGTTTATCTGTTTTGGCTTTCGCACGCATATCAATGCGTGGTTCTCTTTATCAATTCCGAAGGCAGACGGAAACGCTGTATATGGTTAACAGGCAATTTTACAGAACTCCCTCAATCGAGTAAAAACGAGAGCTCACAGGGTAGCCAAGATAAATTGTGCGCAACTGATACTTTCAGAAGAGTTTCAGTTTATTATCGTACTAACTCAACGCTTAAAGAACTGTTTCCTGTGGATCTGACCCCCTGCACATCTGACACGTGTCCCGCTCATTTCCTAACTCCACTGCATGGTATGGCCGTTGCAAGCGACACATGTCGGCGATCAGTTCTGCTCCAGAGCAAAACGAGTTACTGTGAAGCAGCTGTCAAAGGTATGGCTGAATGAATAGCCAACGGTATCGAGTTCTTGCAAGGACCCCAAGCGAATTATGAAAGAATTCGCTTGGGGTCCAACATGCTCAGAACAGCTAGTATTATATGCCGATGATGTTAACTCCTTTGGCCAAGAGAAAAACTTCAAAAACGACCGACTAAGTGAAAACACAGCGATGTCGGGCCACGAATGATGCGCAAAAAAAAAAAAACAAGGTAGAGCTTATAGTCCAGCCACCTGCAGGCCGTGTTTATAGGTCTGCGTTAACATTATAGGTTACCGGTTAGCCAATAGGCGTGCCGTCTTAACCGTAGATGTATGTGTGTTTTTGTGACGCACCAAAAGCAAACACAAGCAGGCTGAACAAACAGGAGATAAAGTTAGTAGCACATCACTTTTATCAATTTAAAAAGTCTTCATTTTGCCTCCTTCACTAATACCCCCATCTCAAAAAGGTTAACGAGAAACTGTCATACTTTTACTGATTACAATTGGCATTCACACACTGTATAATTGAATGAAATTATACCGCTTTTCTGCTACTGAACTGTTTGTTGCCACGGTAAGCGGATTATGGAACCTATGCTAAAAAGTGTGCGCGTATGTGTGTCTAGCGCGCACAGCTTGTACGTACACGTGTGCGCAGTTTGCCTATAACTAGATTCTACTGACGAAATTTTTTAAAGTTCTATTTTGTACCATTGCGGTATCGCATAATATGATAAATGGGTAACGACTGAAAGGGAACCATCGAAGGCAGCAGTAAACACAACTGCTTGTCCTTTTCTACTGATGACCACATACACAAATACGATATGACCCATTAACCCCATATGCGTTAGGATATGCTGCGCTTTTGATTAAGTTTTTCTTTAATCTAAAGGACTTACTATTATCTTTACGCGTCAATTAATTTACCTCTATCATAGATTACGTATGCTAGCCAAGAGTCAGTCTCGCGACTGGAATACCACTTACAAGCGCCACTTTAAAAAAAAGAACGATAATGTAACAAACCTGTTCTTATTCCATTCCTCGTCTGGAAGGCATCACCCGCTCACAAAGCTTAACTGTATATATTGAGACTCATCAGTGAATGAGGTAATGCATTCGTCTACCAATCTATAATGCTTAGATGTTCAAACTAAAAGTTGGATTCCGGCTCTTAAATCAAGAGATCCCAGCAAAAAGTCGACCTTATCAGCTAATCTGCAATAAGACGATTGCCGCAAATATGTGCGCCAGTGTAGAACTTGGACGCCTTGTGAAATACTTATTTTTTATTATTATCATTATGAATATTACACATATCTACTATTCGAGCAGAACAGCTCCTAGTTTTAATTTCTAATAGCTGCTCTTGTTTTACATTTTTATTGATCAGCGTTGAACCCGCATTAGAGTTTATACAATGTATGTGAAAAGGTTCTTATATTTTGTAAGAAGCCCGCGCTTTTACACCTGCTTATAACGGTAAACAAGTATACTAGCAAAACATTTTGCATGACTCGTACCGTCTTGCAAATTATTCTTCATTTACTAGTTTGATGCTCTTCGTACACATATAATTTTACCATTGAAGGTTATAGAAGTTACAATCCGACATTTACATATATTTATCAACTAATCCAGCGAAATTTCCGCATATAGCGCCTACGGCAATATCCGCCTATTTGCATCTATTGATGTACTAATCCATACAGAACAATGACCTACACATAATACTCCGCCTTATCCATAGGCTTGCTTCGTATTTGAATTGCCAAATCTCCCTGCGCGTGTAACTCAAAAGGATCCAGTAGCCATGTCGCTTTGTGCCCTGCGTCTTCAGATTAATGCTGCATAAGCCATCTTGTTATAAAAAGCTCGCTTTTTCGCGGGAGAGGGAAGCATCGATAGCGGAGCGTCGGCAACGGTGGGCGAGGAGGTTGAGAACGACATCAGCGATTGCAGCGCCATTCGCGCCGACAAGTCCGTTGCAGTCTGCTTCACCATCTTTCGACCGCTCGAACAGCGATAACATTGGGCGACCACGTTCTGTTTTGGTAATTGAGCTTGTGTTCTGTGGAGCGAGGTGCACCAGAACGATACGAGTGTGTCATTCGAATTCGCAGAAAATACACGGCGTTGAGCTTGCTTTTTGCCCAGGATAAATTAAATCGACGTCATAGTTGATGTGGATATAGTTCGACCTGCTTTAACGAGGTTAGAGCATCAAGTGGAGGTGGGAGACTCAAGTTTTGTTCGAGTGTACATACAGTGGTATTTTGTAAAAGGCAAAAAATAGAGCTATTTGCTGATGTTAAGGTTAAAGCGTATCTATTATCGCTACGATTTCTTAATACGGATGAAGTTTGCTCGTATGCATGCCTTCTAGATGTGAAGTTAACGCTCTGGAACGCTTTCACGTAGTAACAAACGACAAGGAGATCAAGACAGGCCCCAGAGAGGTTTATTTGTCAAGAATTTCTTAGCGTGTGCCATCAGCGCGATTTAGTATGGCTGTCCGAGAAGTCGCTTTTACCTGCGATGGGGCGGGTAATTATAACGTACGTGTATGGGACCTTCAGAGCGGGAGTCCGTTAGCGACCTATTCAGGTGGAGCATCGCAGCCTCGGACGTTGTCCTTTGTCAAAGGAGACTACATCATGTCAGCTCAACGGGATAAGCCGTAGGTGTTTACAGATTTTTATTTGACAATCCATTCTACTATTTATACTTTATGTAACATTGATTGTTCGAGAATTTCCTAATCCTTTATATGCTCTCAAATTATATCTCCTGCATAGTGAAGTAGTAATAACCATCATGGCAATATCTTACAATGTTTGAGTAATGGGCATGGTATATCTGGTAGGGATTTCGGACGAATTTCTCAATATTCTCTTTCAAAAAAAACGCGTAAAAAGATAGCTGGATTCTCTGTCGGGTATCCAATTTATAAAGTGGACTTGTCCGTCAAATTTATGATTAACATTTACTTAGAATTGTAGTTCAGCCCATTCTCTTCCGTTTTTTTAAACTGTTTTCGAATTTTACTGTTTGTATGTCATAGAATTTGTGTGGTCGAAATTTTTTTCTGTTGGAAATACTTTTAGAGCATTCAGCTTGTGGTCGTTTCGGCAGTATAACCAGGTAAATCGGAAATTCGCAGCTCCAGGCAAAGTCCGAACCATGGATATCTCAGCCAGTGGAGAGTTCTGCGTGGCCGGTATCGATCAGGAACTCTTTATCTGGGACGTACAGGGCGGCACTCTATTAGGCATATTACAGGGACATTACCAGCTGGTCTCAGTGGTAAAATTTACAGAAGATGACCGACACATCGTATCAGGCTCACTGGATAGCGGTATCTGTGTATGGAATGTGAACGATTTAGAGCGTTTAGCTGACGGAGAACCTGTACAGCCGATCACCGTTCTCAAAGATCACACTCAGGCGATCACCGATATCTCTGTACGAGGCTCTCTTATCGCGTCCGTTAGCACATCTGGAATGCTCGCTATTCATAATCTTCGTTCATCGGGTTGGTTGGATCTCAAGAAAAATTTTTCAGTGCCTGCGGAATCAGTAACTTTAAGCAAATTGCTCGACGCCGTCTTTGTTGGCTTCCGTGATGGGAAAATTGTTCGGATGTCGCTACGCGATGGGGAAGAGTTAGAATTCACTGGACATTCGGGGCCTGTTCGCAGTCTGTCCTGCTGGGCCCATTTATTGCTATCGGGTAGTGATGACTGCACAGCGCGTCTTTGGGACGCGACACACGGTCACCTTGACCAGACATTACGCCACGATGGACCTGTAACGAATTGCAAGATCGCTCTGCTACCAGCGAATGCACTCGCCAGGGAGACGAACCGTAGTAAAGGTAAGCTTTCTATGATGATTTTTTACTGATACTAAATATTCTTTAACTGCTCAAGAGTTTCTTTGATATCAAATAAACTTACGCACAAAGTGTTTGTTTCTATCCTTAGCACTTCTTCCGGTCAAGAACTTCCAACGTACCGTCAGTTTCGCTGAAGTCTTCCATGAACCCGAATATCAACAGGTCCCCTCGGAATGGAACGAAATCTCATCAACAGTTCCGGCTCAGGAAGTCATAGCTGCGCAGGCAGCACCACTTAGCAACGAGGAGCGCACTTCACTGGCAAATCTGGCTGCAGCCAATTGCGATATAGTTTCTGTATTGTACAATATTCTATAGATGAGAAAAGACATTATTCTCAATTACCTAACTTTCATGTATCTCATCTTTTAGACCATGTGTTTTTTAGTTTTTTTTTTTTTTTTTTACTCTTTGCGAAGGAAACAAGTGTTGTACACTTATCCTAGATTTACATACAGTGCACACAATAATGATAAAATATTGACAGCTATTGGAATATTGAGCACTCCTATTGCATAACGAAATTCACGTTCATCGACGTGCTGAAAATTATCTTGTATTTATTTAAGATATTTACATATAAAGGAGCGGTCTACGTGGGAGAATCGTCTGATTTTCAATATAAGCTTCAACAAGAACAGACCACACCGTTAACATGCTAGATATCTACATATTATGCATGCATAGTTTCTTACAACGGCAAACATAGGTAGTGAACCAAGAGTCTATACAGAAAAATAAATTCATAATGAAACTGTATAATAAAGTTCTCAAATCTATCATTTTTGAGTGTAGACGAGTGTGTTTATTGTTGCTAGTTGCAGTCAAAGTGACACCGCAATAACTACCTAAGTTAGCTAATCATGTACATTTTGCTTCGGATATAGCTGGGACAAAGTTAAAATCTTAGCGCAAGAACGAAAGAAAAACGTGAAATTAAAATGGCTAAGTAATAGCAATTGCAAACCCTACAAGAAGTACACCTATCTATAAAATTAAAAAAAGAAAGATCGAATATGCAGTGAAGTCAAATCTCACAGATTTTACATAATGGGCATTCAATATCCGTTACATATCAAAATTCGAAGTCGATCAAACATTAGCATCTTTTTACCAAAATGTTCCAGCCTAGTTCACTAGGTCCAGTAGTCGATAGCGTTTCATGACAAACGCTTGCTAAAAGTTTCTATTGAAAGGTATATTTCTCTATACAGCATAGATTACTATGCTGAAGTCTTTACGAAAAATGTTGCCTTATATCAAAGTACCGCTTATTATATTACGAGACCTATTACTTTGTGAAAAAAATTCAGGCAAGCGTAGTGCAAAATTTTGCTGAAGCTTGTTCGTGTTTTGTTTCTATTTTTACGAGAAGAAGGCATACCAAGGGCGTAAGACTCGCGGCAAATACGAAAGAACGTCGTGTTGAACTGAGGACAACGTCCGCACACTCTACCTATGTGGTGGGAACGCCTGGCGGTTCAAGATACAACAATAAAAATCACTGACTTCGGTTTCGACACTGACCAACGCCGTTTCATTAAGTAGATTCCCAATTAAACTATCTCACGTTATCCGAATCCGAGTCGCAAGGACGGAATACGTAATGATAGGTAGTGTAACAGGAACGTCACAAAAAAAAAAATAAGGAAAATGAATTCCCATATGATATACAATGTTATTCAGAATCACCTGTATTTTTTTGATAGCTGGTGTAGATGAAAAAAACGAGACGGTGACTTGCATTTTTATTTATTTTGAGAACGTAACAGTTTTGTGAAATAACGATAGGGTAGTTAATTATAAGACCTATTGAATTTGGGAGCAAAGTATAACGTGTATTTCACTCTTACAGCAAGTGGTAGCACAAGTGATTCTCCAGTTTACCGCGAAGTGCTAGTTTTCGTTTCAATATGCGCTGTAAATGTTTGACAGTTTTTTCGCTTACGTTTTTGAAAACATATACTCTCCACCTTCGTTGTGCAAAACAAGTTTGGAGCCGGTAGGCCGAACGCAGTCACCATCTATGGATTTTGAACAAATCAGTGTTACCACTTCGAGATACATTGGAGACAAATAGAGTCGTTGAGATGGAGAGTCCAATTGGTGGAGTCCACGATATAACTAAAAGAACCGAACAGGCGCATCTCAGAGAACCTGAAACGCTGCATTCATTAGACCAATCACTTTCCCTCTACTCATAGGCCGTATCGTATTTATATATTAGGAATTCGATCAGTGTAGAGTGCTTTCGACATTATGTAAAATCCTTTTAAGTAGTGGCGCAGTGTGCCTAGAAAAACTCTTGATTCTTTCTAAAGAGTCTTAGCTTGAAAACAGCTACGGTTTTCTTGTGAGCCTAATGAGCTGTATAAAAGGGTAAATTTGCCGTTAAAAAAAACCGCGTTTCTCTAATACATAGCAATAAAGGGAGGATACAATGTTGCATGCTATACATGAACATTTACTGTCATTCAAAATGATTTTATATTTTACTCCCTCCAATAATGAGGGGCGCCCGTTGCTTCTTTTAGCTTTTGATTCGGTCGTTATCTTATGACATTCGATCATCATTATCACAACCAGCACCAAATGCTATATATATATATATATATAGTACCTGGCTTTTCCAAGCTCGAACATATTCCCACCTTCTTCCTGACATAACATAAGCATAATGTGTCCACTGGTTCGGCTACTCGTATCCTAAGGTAACATTAATGCTGATCGAGCGACGTAGCGCTCCTGTGTAGAAAGGACTTGGGTCCCCACGCAAAGACATCACAGTATACTTCTCGTTTACGTGTTTGGTAGCTGAGTAGCTGTAGATCGAATGAGCATGTCCTCACATTCATGGCCTGGATGTTGCTAGGCACGCGGACAGGAACATCAACTTGCAGCAGATTTATGGACGGGGAGTTTAAGGAACGGAGAAGAAGACTATCCGGGTCGGGGAATGCTTGTAGGAGGGACTAGATGAATAGGATTTGTTCGATCGAAATACATCATCTACCTTTCATTCAGTAGCAGATGCAACGACGAGGAAGAAAAGAGAATTTGTCGTTTTATGAATGTTCCTACATTTCTATGGCAATATCATACATTGTCCATGCTGCTGTTTTTGTCCGTTTTCTCTCTCGTTCAGTGTTTCTCCCCGCCGTCGTCGTTGTTGCCGTTTTACTTGCTCGCCTGTACCGATTCAGCGAGCTATTGAATCGTTGCTGTTGGTGTCGCCGTTTTATCTACAAGTTGTGTTTGTACTGGGCATTTTGTTTCTCTTTCGTCTAGTCGCGAGTCGTCCCTGACTCCCTCCGCTCAAATGTTCCATTCCCTTTGAGATTCTGGGCGAGTTTGTCATTCAAACAATGAAAAAAAGTCAGTGAATCAGTTGGCGGGCTTCACCAATATATACCAAGCCTATTGTTACAAGAATTGAGAAGTATCGAAGTGCGCTTCTTTAACCTTACTAATTTTCACAGCGATTGATTAAGTATTGCGTTTGGGTACTTAGTAGGCGCTTGCTGTTGCTTCATGCCCGCATGCCGTATGTACCATCACCTTTATTCGTTCACCTGGTTTTCAATCCACATCGACGATTCGAACGTTCGACATGGTACGAGAAGTGATTTCTCAGTCGGCAATATACTCGAGCGACAGATCTAGAATCAACGATTCCCATCGTCGCGGCATCGTCGCCTTCGTCTACGATCATGAACACGTTCATATTTTCAGCCGTCTTTCGTACAGACACACAGGTTACAATTTAAGCCATCCACCGAAATTGAGCTGCGAGTCAGCTCGAGGTAGAGATATGTGTATACAATACAATCTTGCTTTTAACGTGGATCTGCGGCTGTCGAATAAGCTCACACGATTAACTTTCATGCTCATTTTCCTCGAACTGGTACGGTTGCTGCTACCTGTGACGACTGTACACGATCGCTGACTCGACTCCCCCCAAATCCACCCTTTTAGTTATTGCCTGTCTTTTAACGGCTATCTTACATCAGTTTCAACTAGATATACCTCCTCCTGTTACACCATGTTCTTCACTGTCATCATCATGCCCTCGTCCCTACCGCCGCATGAAGTAGTTGCCTTCCTCGCTCTCCTCTAACAAACTGACTCCTGGCAGCAAAGAGAATGGTAACGGAATGATTGGCCGTTTCAGTAAGATCTGCGTGAACATCGGCGTTATCTTATACAGTTTAGTTACCTACTATGGTATAGTTTGTAGACACGGCCTCAGCTGCACATAGAAACGTAACGAAACCTGTCCTTTCTCCCTATTATTTTCATGTGTTCTCTTCAGCGGTGGTCCCCTCCTGATCTTGTCCCTCACATCTAACATAGAAGCCTGCTGCTTTCCCGCATTGCTACTCCACCCTTTGCTCTATCGTTCTCGCTTCTCGGAGCGGTTAGAGCATGCTGGCTTCAGTTACGACAATAAAATCTTGGCGCTACGGCGACCATCGTCGTTGCCACCGCTTCTCTGGGTCACTTAGTTTAATATTTGGCCGTAAAAGACCTTGCAGCGGGTGTTTGGTGGCGCCGAAAGCCGTAAACTAAAAGTACCTGCTGCTGGCCTTCCGCCTGGACTGTTCCGGTTAGTCCTTCCTACCCTCACGCTCGACGCCGCTATCCGTGGGCCGTAGGATGACTGTTTGAGTCACACCATCAGAACCCCTCGTCGTGCACCATCCCTTCTACCAAGGATCCTCCTTCTCTCAACTCCTTCCTCCCGTATTTGGTGAAGCGCGTCGGCTCCCCAATCTACCCTGAAAAACTATCAGCAGCAGCGACGGCAACAGTAGCAAGCTGTTTCCTGCAACTAGCATTTCGCAGTTGAGCTACATTTCAAGACGTTTGCTACCCAACGCGGCATCGAACGCGACGAACGGGGAACTAGAGAAGCAAGTAAGCCGGGCGGCGGGAGGGCCTGAGGCTTAACAAGCGCCCCAGACCACGCTTCGTTTTGGCTGTAGCCTACGCCACTACTGCTGCCGACAGGTCAGGTTTGACGGTGCAACTCCTGTAGGCAATTTAAATAACATGATGAAGTTCGTCGTAGAGTAACTGCGACGCATCAAGCTTCCGACAAAGCTGATGTCGGTAGTGCTGTTTTTGGTCTGTATGTATCGCGCTATATATATGCCTATACGCCTTACGCAGATAGTATTGCTTGCATGTCTCAGTAAAGAAGAACTTGTCTAAAGCATTAACGCCTACGAGTTATCTACACTGAGTCGTAATACTCGTGTCAGGTGAGCAATAGTCATTCCCAGAATTGAACCTGATCAGATTTGTAGAAGAAAATAAATAATTAAAGGCCTTCAAAGTGTAGAGTCATTTTTGCAGAAGAAGTTATCCCAAGGAATGGTTAGCTTAAGATAGAGTAACGTGCACAATGGTGCCATTTTCGTCGTCTAGAATCGTCTGAACATCAAGTAAAACTTGGCAAATTAGCGTACGAAATAACGTAAACTATAACTAATTCTAAAATTTTTTAAAGTAATTCAAAGCAAACTGGCGGGTCTCTCGGATCTCGGTCTTGATAGTCGTAAGCACCAGCAAGGGCGCACCTCAATATTCCAATCCACGATAGACGTTACAAAAGAGCCATGTATTCCAAACTCAGCCAAAATAACCTGAAGACGTATAGAAAAATTGACAAATGACATGCTTGTAATACGCCTATTAACTAAATATTTTTTTTAAATCCGTAGTTGTATAGAAAAGGATTCTCTAGCGCAGCAAGTAAAGTTTATCACTTTGAGGATAATAGCATGGGAAACAAATCCTACTTCGTTTTAATCATCTTTCCTTATTGTTAGTATATCCATTTACTTCAATATTTATAAGCGATTTTCGAAAGTATATACGCGATAGAGTGATCAAAACACCTATTTACACTGTTGCACGTTTGAAATAAAGTATTCTGCTACGTGGATAGACAGGGAATTACTCTGACTTGCTCTACAGGCTGTTTTTGTATACGTGCTTTGTTTGCTATTGTCATACGTTGTGCAGGCAGTGCGAAATGTGTACGGCTAACGAGTGTTGCCCATTTAATAGAATCGTCACGAATTCGATACTTTAATCAAACACAACGTAATGCTCACTTACCGTTTCGAAGTATGCGCAATTGACCCAGGACCTAATCTCTTTGACGCTGTCACAAATATCCGATCGTGTTTTGCCAAGCACACTTTACACCTTTTTCTCTTTGCAAGTTTAAGGTACGTTTCAAACGGAAGATCCTCACAGGGCAAAAAGCATAAAATTGCTTAAGCGAAATTTTTCAGTGAATCCATAAGTGCCATGCGAACTTCGTTTTTATTAAAAGTCGTAACCAACCTTCGCTTCTTAACTTCCTCGTATTTCTGCTTCGTTTAGCCTAATTTTACATTTGTAACGACAATCCACGTAGTCATTGACAGAAGATGAAAACTATGTAACCAGGTAAAACAAACCTAGACACACTCGAATCAATGTAGATTCCAATATATGCACACGAACTGTAGAGTTTTAACGGCTGTAGTTGTTAAACAGTTAATAAAACGAAAACCATACGGCTGATAGACTCCACAGTAGCAGTCTTCACTCAGCGTGTGAGACTCCGCTGGGAGCACATCTAAAACGGAGACGCACGCACGAATCGCCCACAACCTACCTCCGACTGGTGAAGATTCTCTGACACTCGCAAGCAATGGCCATTCGCCTGGCGGTTGCCTGTGAGAGAGGGCAAAGCTGACGCCCTTTCTCATTGGGCGAGAGTAACTGTTGCTTGCTAATGTTGATTCGAAAAAAAGAAGGAACGCTTCAAGTCGCAAAATACAAGACACAGTGGACGGACGTTTGTGTCGAACGCTAAAAAATTGCTCATTGAGTTCTTAACTGAGATCAACTAGGCCAAGTGGTGACGGTTTAGCAGTAACACCGTGGCAATTGAGAAAATAATCGTCTAAAGCAATTGAGATTCTATTTACTCCTTACAGTTTGCTCGTTGTATCGTTCAGGATAGTTAGACGAACCTGAGCATCGATATTGGAATATACATGCGAAGGTCGACTACTTCGAGTCGTTCTACATGTTCCCTTATTCCTAATTGGTGTAAAATGGGGGGGGGGGGGTAACATATGGGGTTAACTCTGAATTATTTCATTTTCATGGCATTGAGTCTTGGCAATCACATGAATAATAATTTCCCCAAAACCTCAATCATTCGTTGGCTTTTTCACGCCCTGACTCAATCGAAAACTAACACGATTATGCAGAATCATTCGAACAATCCCTTTGTTCACTATATATATATATAATGTATGTCTGTAACTGCATTCCCACAGATTCCTGAGTTAACAAGTGTTCCGGACTAGGCCACTGGAAATATCCTAATTAAATCCTTCTATGGTTAAGGGACGCATATGCATGTCTGGAAGTGCCACTGGCACCCCTGCTTCATGCGACTTAGTCGAGCTATTCATAGAAAACTAATTAGATCTACACCCGGTTAGAATCGAGTAGATTCGTCATAAGTAGGGTGAGTTTATTTGCTAAGGATGTGCTTTCTAATTATACTGTGCCCATATATGCGCAACTATTCAATAATAAGGTGAAGTTGGCCTGCAGCTATATCAGTGGAATTATGACACACAGTCCTTCGTGTCTTCCAATACAGAATAAAATACTGACAACGCAATAGATTTAATTGTTAAAATACAAGTAAGATATCAATTGCACCTATGCAACGCATTGCGTGCTGCCTGAATTCAAAATTCTCTCCACGGGGGACCCTGTCCCGTTGCATCTACGTTTATTGTTTATTTCTATAGCAGACAAATCCAATTACCTAGGCCGCCGTTCCTTAATATGCTTGTTCGCCTGTTCAAAAGGCTGATTGAGTAATACAGAGCGCTGTTGTTCAGCTAATTCTGAGTCTCTTCCATCGTAAACGTTAACCAGATAAGCAGCCGTGGGCAGTCTAATGGCAGAGGGCGGGGCTGTAGCAGTGGAAAATGACACCAAGCAGACGAACGTGTAGCGGCATAGTCTTTCAGTAAACTCTGGGAACAACAACCTCGACATTGGCAATACACCAATACCACCAATTTACGATAGTAGTTTAGGCAGTTACGTCCAAAACTATAATATATATATATACCTGTAGGATCGAGCGTACCGCTTCACGCACAGCTGGTGTACGACAGGATACGACGCGAACCACGATGTAGGGGGCCCGCCCCCATCTGCTGTCGCCCCGCCACGGCCGGGGTGACCTGAATAGAACGACGTAGCTAGCGGCGGCTACGGCGACGTCGTAATCGTCAACGGAGCGAGCGCCTGCCGCCTCCGAATGTTTGGCTGTTTCCGTGCTCTATCAAGCCGCCTGATGCAACTCGATCCAGAGATGTTGTTGCTGTGTCTGCCATTATTACCGCTGGGTGACACTGTGGTAGGTAACGGCCGTTTGTCCCATGAGCCAAGTCGCTTAGTTGGATAGCCACAGTAGCGTAGCATACAAGCGAACGGGCAACAGACAACAACGGCGAAAGAGATAAAGCAAGTCAGTCAATATATCTTCGAGGGAACAGTAGATTGTCGGTAGCTAGTGCGGAGGCAAATCCACTATAAAATCGCTCGCAACAGACCGGCGTAGTGGGGCCACACGCGCAAAACGGATGCCGTCTGGAGCAAATCCACAGCAGTGTCTTTTAGTCCAAGTTAACTATTGTTCTTCGTACCGCTGGCATTGCTACTGGTAAATGCTAGGAGTCGTTACTGTGGCGCCATCGAACGCGACCGCCTGAGGTAGCTGATGGAGCAGCGCGAAGAGATATTGACCACTAGATAACAACCACGTACAATCGGATATCACCCAGCTATACGCACCGGGCGATGAAGACAATACGGGCTAGGAAAGCTGTGCCACAGGAGAACAAATTGACTAGGGCTTTGTTTTATACCCATTATCGTATGCTGTCAGTGATGGTAAAAAAGGACAGTCCACAACAACAGACTGGTCACTGACAACCAGGTACAAATTAGGGGCATAGTGGTATAAGTTGTATGAAAACAGTGTAAAATATGATAATGAGACATAGTTCTCGGACCGACGAGCAGACAAGACAATGTAAGCGGGAAGTTTAAGCCCCGCGCTTTGACTGCATCGTGGATTTAGTGTACAAAGGCAGGAAGAAGTCACTGTCAATACTTGTAGGGCCTTCTCACTCCGGAGTATCATTGCCGCATGTGAATCCTTGCACGGAAATCACAAAACAATATATCGAGTACACATCACCCATATTTGGTCACACTCTGAAACATCGATGAAATCATGTGTTTGAATAAATACAGACCGTAAATATATCAAGTTAAAAACAGCTTAACATATAGTCAATATTAAGAAGAGTCTCTCACGTAAGTTTTCTCGTCGAAGCTGCAGTTATCGAATCTGCGATACAGCCTCCTATCATAGAGTGAAGCTTTTTGTGTTTTTCTAGATGTTTATGATCGCCACTCCTGATCAGCCTCCTTTCTACTTGTGCCCCGCGCAAATCCCGTACCTCCTTTTTTTATCTATTTACGGATCATGGGAGGGCTGGCGGAGGCAGTTTATCGAAGCGTAATGGGACATTCTCACATGCTTCGAAGGTTCGCAGATAACTATGTTTCCTATCATGGCTAACAATGGATGAACAAACTTAGCTCATTGGACGCTTCACGATCGTCTGTGGGGCTGATGATTATGATTTTTCACATGGTTTACTCGCTCATTTTGACTTCCTACGCTTTTCAGGATTATCACGTTCCCTTCTTATCGAATATGAAGTCGCTCGCTGATTGTGCAGCTATTCAAATTAAACCGGGCAGAGCACCTGTAGCCAACGCCGACTGACTAGCTGTCTAAGGATTATTACCCGAATGAGTTCAAAGATTTCACAAAGGGCCAGTTTTGTGATGCAGGTACACCATTTTATGCTACAAAAAACGAAGATGTAAAATTATCATAATCGTTTTGATCTACATAACAACAAAAAAGAGAGTTTCTGTCATAAAGTAAGTGTTATTTAACCATGTACTAATGATGTTGCACTTCTGCTGGCCGCTGATACATAAGTGATTTTATCGGCAATCACAATTCTCTACTATGAAACTTGAAAACGCGCAAAGGCTTCAATCACCAGTTGTTATCCGTGATTCATACAAACGACATTAAAAAATGCCTCTTTTCGAGGAATGTCGTTACCTCTACGAAAGCGTCCAAACAGCTTTGAAATCAAGAAGATAGTGGCTAGGCGTCATCGAGTGCTTTTGAAATTTTTTAAGTAAGTTTAGCAAGATAAATTTAATTTTATTCTAAAGAGTACTCTTGATTGTTTGAAAGTGCCTATGTTGAGAGAAGAATTAATCTGTGACCATTCTTGATTTCGCCATATATTAGAGTATCGTAAATAGGAGGCCCTGCGCATTGTTCTCACCGCGTGAGTGCCGAAAAATCATTTGCACTAAATTGCTCGACTGATGATTTTTTGAACACTCACATTAATTAACAGCACAGAATCAAGTTTGGAATCTGTCTCTTCATTTCTACCTTGACAGATATGAGTTGTTAATTTCGCGCATCCCCTGTAAAATTGCTTTTGCTCAGAAAATTTCCTAGTAATCAACCGTTGTGTAATTTGGAAAAACCCAAATTTATTATTAGATCTTGAAATCGGTCAAATCTTATACATTTATCTATAGAAGTATCACTATTGAACCATCATTATAATTAGTCTTATAAATTAATAGGATATGTTATGTGAACACCTGTAATCCGCTTCACCTCTGCGATATAAGCATCATTATGTCTAATTTGTTGATATGTACGTAAACGTTTCTCAGCTTGCTTCTGCACAGGTCTATATTCTGGGCTAGGTCACATATTCGAATATCTATTCGCTGAGCTCTATAGTAGCTATGTATTGTAGGCCACAATGTTGAACTTCGACGCGGTACTCTATTTTCTCAATATACAGCATAATTTTGTAAATAGGTAATTCCTTTTGATGTGCTCGTATGTTAGTCACGACATTTCTGTTATTGTCAGCGCCGTCTTTGTTGTTGTTGTTGAGTGATTTATGTGCTAAATACCAATGCGCTAAACCTTACTTTTTGGCAACTTCGTTTCCTCTGTACCACGTGGTGCTGTCTGAGGCTGGAACCTGGGCATCACATTGATCTCATCGTGCGTCATCTGTCTATATCTTTGTTGGTCTGCTAGTTTTTGCGTCCGTCCATTTACTTGTCATTCCACCAAGCTTTGCCAGCGCGCTTTCTCCTAGTCTTACGTTGCCCCTTGAATAAATCTTAGCCTGAAGATCCATGAATGTTAGGGAGCTGTTGGCGCACCTGTAGCTGCTGCAGCTGTTGACAGCGGCGGCATGGATGTAACATCTTCCCAACTGTTTTTTTTATTTTCGCCGATCTGCGGGCTCTACGCCAATGCACTCTTGCAATATACTGGCGCACAATACGGTGCCTGTCGTCTACATCGACAGCTACGCTTGGTAAAAAAATGTTCCGCCTTTCATTCATTTATCTATTTATTCATTTCATGTTACTTTCTGGCCGCTCGGCGTTTTCCGATTTTTACGTCATACGTGTGAGACAAGACT